TAGCTAGTTACCGTAGTTAAGAAGGCTCGGAGGTACTACTTCCGTCCTCAGTTGATATCCTTCTTTCCATCCACTTAATAAAATCAGACAATTTTATCGCGTTTAATGACTTACACTATTGATCATATTCAATCAGCATTCAATCACTTCTCTGAATGTTTGAGTAAACTGTATGACACTTTCTTTATTCGTCCAACTGGACAGACAATATCGATCATGCTAGTGTAACCAAGTCATGCACCTCATTCTCAAAACATTAAAAAACCAATTTTACTTCAATTTTAATCTAGGAAAATCAGATTTGGAGTCAACAACAGTGAAATGAACCTATGCTCGAGGCGACGATTCAAATGAACGGATACATATAAGCAACTCGAAATATTTCATTGCATCTTCATGTTTGTTTATGGTCGTTGCACGATTGTAATTTGCATAATGTAATTTGCATAATACAGGAATCAGTAATCCTGATTAAAATTTGATTAATGTTTAGATTTGAGAAGAAGAACATCAAATCAATTCCAAAATGTTTTTATTGCTATTTTAAAGCGTTCTCGTGTGCGGTCGTTTGCTTCAAACAAATCAGATACGGTCTAAATTGAGGAATTATGCAAAGCGAGGATGGTAACACGGAGGTTATAAACTTACTGTTGTTCGGTTGCATACGACATTACTATTCAATTGCCCGCTTGATTATCAGTTGCATATACTTATGATGAAATTTATACCTTTTTTGAGCACCAACGGTGTCACATTATCAAATTCTTGATCATTCGTCATCCTTTATCCAGCCATGTTACCACAACAGATCCATCCGTGTTCATGGGATCTAATCTTGACCACTGAATCAGCCATTACAGAACTGGCGTTCTGATCGATCTCACACGTTGGCCAATGATTTCTGCGAAAATCAATAATACTGACTAAAATGGGGAAAGAATAATAATATTAGGATAGTGTTCATCTACCTTACACTTTATAACTGAATCACAGTCATTAAATAAATGACCTTAAATGATTCACCATAGTGTAATAAAATGAAATCGACACAATGTATCGTAATGAATTTGAGAAGAGTTCAATTTTACAGAAACTAAACAACGATGATGACGATGAAGGGGTTCGTTCACTGAGGCCGTTACCCACCAATTCATATTCAGTTATCAACAACGTTGAAATTGAGAATATCGGTAGTATGCCTATTTTTAAGGTTATCATTCTTATTATTACTACTGGTATTAGTATTATTAGCAGTATTATTTCTGATGTTTTTAGTATTATTATTTGTATCACGTGTTTTATCATTCATGCAGATAATATTGTTAAGCATATATAAGATGATATGATAGGATATGATATGATATGATGTGATATGATATGATATGATATGATATGATATGATATGATATGATATGATATGATATGATATGATGTGATGTGATATGCAATTTTAGGGAGATTTACGACAGTTACCAGTAAAGGTGCAACGATTTGTGATCGAAAAGGCATATTTGATGCGTCCTCGCGGAATATATATATGTGACGGTTCGAGTCGTGAGGCTGATGAGATCGTTTCGAAATTAGTTGATTGTGGCACATTCTCGGTTTTAACTGCTTATGAAAACAATTACATTTGCAGAACCAATCAAATGGTATTATTATTGTTGTTGCCATCATTATTGACTTTAAACAGTGGATATTATAATATGATTCTTTTAATTTCAACTGATTTCTCGTCAAATGGCAAGGAGCACGCTGGCTAGAGGATTTACTCGATACAGTCGCACTGTTATGCACAATTGATTTCGTAGCAGCATTTCTATGACTGATGTCCTTATGCTTGCTTTTCCGTTATAATGCCACAAAAGGCTAGCAATACATTATGGCTTGTTCGAGTTGATATGAAATGGCACATTAAAGGATGTACAAGAGAGTATA